CTCGGCTGTTCAGTGTGTGAGACAAGGTGCCAAGCTGGAAATGATCCCGATCTATTAAAAAAAAAAGCGGGCAGGGGAGAAATACACAAACACCATGAGCTCTACCACAAAGAGCAATCTTAATCAGGGCTAAAGGTAATTGCCATTATATTACCTCAAATGTCATGGAATAAATATCAACTAGGAAGCTCTTCATAGGTCAAAAAACTGATTTCAGTCCATAGATTACAATAATCTCCCCCATAATGGTCAATAAAAAAGCTAATCAGTCAGTGTGTTTAGAGGTGTTGCTCTGAAATGTAGCTTCTCTAAAAATTACTTTACTGTGAATATTAAGAATGACAGCACAGTTAAACAATCCATATACATGTCTTGGCACAAACACATCCAGAATTTTAATAGTTTTTCTTCAAAATGGAGCTCCTTTTAGAGCTTCAAAACTGGGACTAAGTAAGTATGAAAATTAAAATTGCAAATCATCACAATAACAGAACATTTTTAATTAAGATAACCTGATAATCTTTTAATTTGAGAAGACAGATAATGGTTCTTACTTGTAAAAAGACAGGGAAAACACACAGAGAAAATTATGACTTTGGAGAAAAATAGTAAGAACCTAATCTATTAAGATTCAATTTATTTCAGGTTCATAAAACATTTGCCATACTCACATTAACAATCTTCTCTTAAAATCCAGATAAAAGACTAGAGCTATCTTCCTAAATTGAAGAATACTTTTCATCAAAAGACACACCTTCTGTTATTTAAATCAAATTTAAAATCTGAGTGAATAGAAATGGATCAGTTTGTAAGGGTTTACCATCAGAGAAATGCACTGTTTGCACCATGCAAACCTTGCTTGCTGAAAAGCAAGTAAGCAGAGCGAGTACCCTTGCATATTAATCATCTGTGTTTGCTAAGTGACACAATTTGTGAGCGTATTTGAAATAGAATAGGTTGCCACATTCCTTTACACAATGAACATTTACCAAATGATTTTGGCAGTTATACCTTTAAAAGGAGACTCAAGAAATGGGGCAGGTTTCTGTGCCAGAAATATTTTTTTGGCATATTTGCTTAAAGCTCCACTCTTCTCATTCGGAACAATAAGCTGCCTAATAAATCTTGTACGGTCTCTGATGTCGTAGCTTTGATCGTACTTGCCGAGATTTAATACGTACTGGGTAAGCAATTTTGTCTGTGGAAAAAAAAAACAGGACAAGAACAGAATACAAGTTATTTATGATTATTGATAACTCTGGATAAACATATTTAAAGAGGTAATAAAAATGAATGGTTATGTCAAACAAATGTTGTTCCACAGGGAATATGCATTTCTAAAGCTGCAAATGGAATTCTGCAGCCAAAGCACATGTCCTCTTCTGTATTGGGGAGGTGAATGCTGAGTACTGAGAAGCAGCCATGTGCTAGATTATTAAACTGCTGAAGTGGAAAGAAAGGCATCATTAAAAAAATAATCATATATGGCAAACCCGCTGAAGGGTCTACGTGAGGATAATGAATGTGGAAATACAACTAAAAACATGGCACTCAAAACTTAATCGGAAAAATATGCAGGACATCAAAACATCAGAGGGTATTAGGGGGCTGGCAAACTGCTTCTGCTGAGGTGTGTTTTATGAAGAGATACTGTCCCTGGCATAAGCAGTGTCTGCACTCTGACTGCACTCAGTTACTTTATCCTGAATTATGACCCATTAAAGCAGACACATGAATCACTGAACTGGATTACTGCAAATTATTTGCAGTGCATTTAGCTGTTACTTTTTCATAAAAGCAAGCTGCTGATGCCCTCTAAAAACCAGGATAAAAGACTTCTTCCATTTTTTTCTTGAAGCTTAAAGCCTCCAGTAATACCGGTCATTTATTTATTTATGTAAGAGAGCAAGTTATATTATCACAGCTTTTTACAGCATAATAGGACTTCCTAATTTCATGTCTGAGAATACCAGCACGTATTAAGTAATTTTAATAATTCAGTTAAATTTTTAGAACTAAAAAAGAATATAAAAAAACAGAGAAACTTTCCCAGTATCTTAGAAATAATGTAGTATAACCAGAACAATAGTGCTGAACAGACTTGTTTCCATTAGATACATCTCAAAGAAGTACGCCACTTTCTTTATACACAAGCAAACAGGAAAAGGGCAAAAATAATATGCCATCATAAGGAAGTACATTTTTAGTATTTCAACTCAGAATGGATGAATAACACAGGGTTAAAAATGTATTGTCCAGGAGGATTTCTTTTCTTTATACAAAGAAACAACCTTGCATACAGATCTTGTTTACTGTGTTATTATTATAACAATAACAGTTTCAAACATGTGAGCGGAAACACACATAAAAAATAATCAGTCAATTTTGCTATACGTAATTTTCTAAGAAAAGCTCAGTTCAAAAATTTCCACCACAAGGACACAAGTTAAAGTTTTTTCTAGGGATGTAAAAATACTTTTTCAGAATATTGATAAGTAAATTACACAGTAAACAAAGATGCTTTCAATTTAAACCACATACAATGCGATATATGCAAGCATTTCACAAAACACCCTCTGGTACCAAAGATTTGAAGAAATTAGTCATAATACTTTAAAATAATAGTAGAAGTATAGTTAAAAAAACCTTTCAGTGAAACACTTTTAATTTCTTTTTTCTCTGATACCTAAGGATGGTTCTGTGAAAAGATATTTTTTCCCCACCAAGGTACTGTCTTAGCTTTGAGAAAGGTAAAACTTTCCCATACGTTATTTCACAGCTTATTGGCAGCTGTTTTTTATATCAGGGTATAAAATTTTAAATAACTGCATCATACAGAACATACGTAATCTGCATTCATGCAGGACTTACGCCGTTCAATCTAAATGGAATTGGAAGGGAGGGTTCCCAGGTAGCACGAATTAAACTAAATGAGGAATACCTCCTTCAGCCTTTGCCATCACTTCTCCTCCGTAAAACAAAACAAGACTCCGTGCTGTCATGGCAGAAAGCTCAGCAGAATGGATCATAAAACATAGTGGTCTTTGCTTGTGAATTGCTATTTGGATGGGAAAAGTTGAAGGCCTTGCTACCATTGTGGGCACTTTTTCTGTAAGTGTTGATGGACTTAGATAAAGAGTTGATCCTGAAAGACTGCATTTTCTTTAATGGGATCATTCCACCAGGATGCTTTCACTTTTCCACCTCCCTTTCCTCTCCTCTCAAGTGTCTTTTCCGTATCGTCCAATACAGATAAAGACACAAGAAACTGACGTGGAAGAATGCTCCACATTCACAAGACTCCTTGTAAGCATCATATTTTTTTTTCTCCTTGTCTTATGGTAACACAACCAAAGAAGTAGCTAAGCTTTTCTACATGAAAGTAGCTAACAGAAATAACTAATTTTAATTAAAAACAAAAAACAAACTAATGAAGACACATCAGTTTTTCCAACAAAGGAATATCCATATGAAGCTGAACATTACTTGAGCAAGCATGTTGATTTGGTGAAATATGACAGAATCTGCACACCATGACTGCTTCATAGAACAGTAAGACAAAGTATAGTGATACATGATATAATACCTTTATTATTATATGTCAACATTGCCTGTTATCTGGACATGCTCATTACGTAGCATGTAATATATATATTATATATATATATATAATTTCTTTTAGCAGCACACTGTTAGAATCTGTTAAAATTTTTTGTACTTTTTGGTTTGGCTAATATGAAAAGTATGATTCGAGTCATCCTTCAGCACCATTTCTAGAATTTTCTAGTGGTAATAGTTCTATTTAAGAACTAAACGCCTATCCTATATTAGCAGTAATTAACCTTTTGGCAGATCCCCACTTGAAAATTTTATAATACAAGTATCACCAACAGACGAGTTTCTACAATGGGAGAAAAACAGTTATCTGTCCACTCTTTGATATCATTAGCTGGCAGTAACTTGATTCTTTAGATACACAAGATAAGGCTATTGTGCTAAACCACATTTGAAATATCTACTTACACACTAGAACTACCGAGGACTTTTTCTGGTGAGACTTCTACTGTCTTACACAACAGAAACTCATCAAAATCTCTTTATTCTTCCTGCTATACGCAACAAACAGCTAAGGCAATTAGATGACATTTTCCGCATAACACTTTCTCTTATATGAGCTCCATTTATACAGCTATCTAGCACATTCATAACGATTTTTATGCTCCTAAGTGAAGAAAAAAGGAAGCAAGTTTACCAAGCAACATAGACAACCAGAGGAAAGTCTCTTGTTGTTACATATTTATCCAGATAGGACCGAACCTGAAACTCTTCCTTAAATTATAAATAGCCTTTGAAAATTCATGGGGTGATCACAGGATTTAAAGGATACTGGAAACTCTTACAAAAAAGTATTGAATCTTAAAAAAGCATTCCTGAGAAAATGCTGCATTGTTTGAACATATGTCTAAGGAATTATCATCAAGAAAATATTCACAGAAAGGGAAAATATAATGAAGTCTTATTTCCTCCAGAATTTTGTTTCCTCCAAACAAGACTTAATAGATGACTTTTACCTGCCTTTCTTTCACTTGGAGAAAGAGCTCTCTTTGTCGGTTTGGTTGGTGTTGAGTCTCTCTTGGCTATCCTATCACTAATTTTCAATAAAGTGACATTGTATCTTTGAGATTTTCACAAATTCATTGACTTTGGATGAAACTCAAAGGATTCAAAAAAGTTTTACGTGGTGGGGTAGGATACGGAGGGAGAAAACACAGGGATGAGCAGAGATGGACAGACTGACAACTGAGCAGTCAAATGTACATGATTTGCCCTTAAGTTTGAAAAATTAGACTGAAAAACAGCTGGACTTTTTTGGAACCAAAGTCATTCTAGAAAGAAATGTTTTAATACTGCATGAGTAAAGAAGAGTTACTCCAGGGAATAAAGATGTAGATGTAGGAAGAGTGTTGCCAGCTTCTAAAGGCAAAACTATCATATTCTAGTTTGGAAGGAGCTTTGAATCAAGCTAAGTCATCAGCTTACTCTGTTAGAATTTTGTATATGAATAGCTAGACGACTTGAGAAGATAACTTATTCTTCCACAACCTAAAACTAAGAAGAAAACAACCTTTGATTAAATTTACTATTTAGTAGGCATCTCAGGAGACAGTTTCTTCTGCTTCATCATCATTATTGTATTTGAATAAAGAGTTATGAAACACTTATAATGACGGTTTAAAACGTGTTAAGACATGAAACTGGAAAAAGCATCACGGAAATCATCATCTCCTTGTAGGCAATGGATTTCTGGCCAAATATGGTGTGGAAAAATTAGTGTAAAACTACAAAAATTACATGGAAAAAACCAGTAAATATTATGTAATTGTCCAAAAGGAGATAGACTAGATAACCAGACCAGTCTTTCCTTAGCTCAGTCAGCATTTTAATTAAGATGAGCACTGACAGAAAGAAGTCACCTTTTGTTATTGCCTCATTTTAGGCTGTATAAGCAAAGGACAAGCATTCATTCTTATCTGAACACATGGCAAGACAGTTCATCTCCCACATGCCCTACAGAATAAAGTCTCAGACAGATCAAGTCTGCAGTTAGATATAGTTATCAAAGAATGAGAAGACACCACAGTTGCAAAGGTACAATATCCTGTGCTGTCCAAGCTGTTGTAAAACAAAGAGGTCTAGTAGCCCAGGAAAGTGTATTAATCTCAGACAAAATATTTCTTATACATTTGGAAAAAAAAATTAAATCTTTGATATTACAACCTTTTACAGTAATAATTGGAATTACAGTGAAAAATTCATGTCAGGATGCTATATTCCACAGCCAGAGAGTGATGAAGTTCACAGCGCTGTCATTGAGAAGAACGAGGCAGCTGGGACCTCTCACAGCTATTGTTTTCAGCTGCTTGGAGATTTAAGTTCACCTTTTTGTACATTTTCAGATTATCTTTATTACTAGAAATGATCAAACCCCACCTTCTCCATAAGGTAAAGTGAAGTAGTAAGACATACAAAAAGAGGGAAAGTAGTTACTATCTTTAAGATGAACACTGATGGAAAGACATAGCAAGGCGTTTTGCTAGCATCTCCTTTTAGATATCCTGAACAAAAAATGAGCCGCTTCTTGTTCAAGTTGATAGTACTCCCTTGAAAATCCTGGTCTTACATTCAGAAAATAGCACATCACATCTGTAAAATCTCCTATCTGATATTAGTAATACAATTCACAAATCTTTCCTATATATGTGAATTAAAAAACCCACAATTTCGTCAAGAAAGAAAGAGGCAAAAGAGAGTGATCTCATTACTACATTTATATTTACAATCCAGCACATACTCAAAGACTTATGGTTAGATTTAGTCTGTTAGATTTCTGGAAAACTGATGCTGATGTTCAGCTTTTCTTCGTAGAATAATATGGTCTAGTTTTGGTCACTTACGTGAAAGAAATCACCATTGATCTATAGAGACTGTACAAAATCTACTGTGACTCTAAATACATACGCTTCGGAGTTTAAGCTTACCTGCTTTGAGTTTGTTAAATAGAGTTTTGTGCCCAAATTTAAGATCTGCAACTTTACAAGGTCATCTTCACTAGTGAAGCTCTTAGCTGTCTTTCTCAAAACATCAGGTGCGATCTTCGGAACCCTTTCACAGTACTCGCCGATGAGCCAGAGAATGCTGGCTCTGGCTACTGGAACCTGAGAAAACATTGCACACTCTAAGTTAACACATTCACAAAGACTACTTGCATACTTGTGCACGCCTCTGTTCAGTAACAAGTTCAAATACTGTTTAAAGACAATTGCCATGCAAGAAACACAGACTCAAATTGAATACTGTTCAATACGTCACCATGGTAGGCTGAATATTTGTACAAATGTAAGATACAGATCCTGCCCCAAAACCTATGCAATACGAGTCGACAAGACAAACAGAGGAGGAATGGAAATAGAGGTGCACACAGAAGCAATGTGTTCATGTTCACAGGGCAAGCTGATGGCAGTTGGGAAGAGAATCCAAGCCTTTGAGGTGTGGTTGGGAATTCTTGCCACCAGGTTATGCTAAACACCACGTTGAAACAAAACAGTGCTTTTTTGTGACTATATTAATATAAAAATGGTTTCCAACAATACAGCTTCCTAAAACTCTATTTACTTTAAAAGCACAAGAATTTCTTTAAGACTAGCTATCTTTCTTTCATCTTTATTTAAAATTTTGTGACAGTAAGATTCATATTTTTACAAGTGTCCAGGGTCAGCTGAACACAGAATTTCGGAGAGACAGGAGTTCAAATTTAGGGTTCTCAATTTCTGAATAAGATCTAATCCCTTAACTGAAAACACTCTGACCAGAAACTTCACACAGGTCTTATTATTTTGAAGCTACTCGATTATTTCATTGAAATAACTTGCAGCAACAGTTTTTAGACGAACTCTCAGCACATGGCGCTGACTTCAAAAGCACAATACTGTCACAGACAGAGGGGAAGCAAAATGGAAAAGCACAGAAGGAAACAGAAGATCATGCTCCACACAGAGATCAGCTAGAAGTAGTCAGGAGTTAAAGAAATAATATACACACTCTTCTCAAAGGTGAGCTAGCCTATATTACCTGATGGTCAAATTAAGAATTGCATCTGTGTTACATACCTCCCTGAAAACATTGTTCTCCTTCCTTGAGGAGAAGGAAGAAAGTCTACAGATTGTGGTGCTCTCACATTCTGTACAGACTCTTGTTCAACAGATGTTGAACTATTAGGGAAAAAAAACATAACTGTTCTATCCTACCAAATGACTGACTGTAGTTTACAAAAAAGGAAAGCTTCCAACTGTAACTGCAATTTCATCTAATTTTACAGTTTTTTCTAAAAAAGCAGAAAACATTTGTACTAACACTTTTCATTACTCCCTACACAATACAGCGATCTTTTTTAATAAGCTTATACTTAAGTCAGCATGAGTTCTGTCTTAGGTAAGATTCAGAAGAGAAATAAGCTTTAGAAATTCAGCATTGTGGTTCTCAAAGCACTAATTCTAGCATCTTATATATATGTTTTAAGTACTTCTCCAGCATATGTCAGTTATTCATCTATGAATATCTATTTCTCAGAATTAAAATGGGAACCAACTATTGAATATCCTACTCTGTATATGTATAAAATTTGAAAGTACTGCTTTCCAGTTACATTCATAAAAGGTAACAAATGCAAGCAAACTACCAAGGTTCAGTCAGGATAACAATTCCAAACTACGGTTAACAGCTTCTAATAAATGGTCCACAAAGCCATACTAAAGAAATACTATTTATGTTCACAGGAATATAAACATGTTTATTGTTCTAAAAAGTATGGGAACATCTTTGAATAAAGTCAACCTGACACTATTTGCCTCTATACTTCACATTGGTGCAAATACACGTGCCTACAAGAATATAAACAACAGGCACCTCATGAGGAAAACAGAGGACTGCTGCTGCTGAAAGAGCAAGCAATCAGATCATAGAAAGACAGAATACAGGACAACAACAACAAAAAAAACCCTCAAGAGATAAACACCAATTCTAAACATGGAAAAGATATTTAAGATAGAGATAACAATGTATTGAGAGTGGTATAACAGTGATTTAACATACATAAATATTCGTTGAGATACAGATGAATTTATTTTTTAATTGACAAAAAAATTAAATGGTCTTGGAACTTATAGCATGAGAAAGGGAACAAGCTACCGAACAACTGCTAAATATAAAAACTTTAAATGCAGTCAGAATATGTTCGCCTGTGAAACAGTAAGACTGATGCCATTACTGTACACTGATTTCAGAAGGGAAAGAGGTTATTTCTAATGTTCCAAAGGTTACACTGCATTAAGACCTCACTCCCTATCTATTATTTTAAATTGGGCTAAAGAATAGTAATTGAGTGGTACATTAAATTTTCCAGTATTGGAGCAGTTCAAGTTGCCTGCTGTACAGACAGATACCTCTAAATAAGAATATATAGGCAACTTCAGATTTCAGTTATGCTAGATTCATTTTTCTAAAACATTTCATTACAGACTTGTTAAAATATTAGAATCCTACAAGAGATCACCACATACCACAGTTTAGGCAGCAGCCTATTAGAAACACTCCTTTTCCTGTGATAGTCTTTTAATAAAGCAAAAATAGCTCACAGAGCAGACCAATTTCAGTAACAGTGTTAATTATGAAAGACAACCATTCCTATTGTACTTTTCCCAGTCAAACCCAGGACTATACTTTAAAACCACAAGGAAATATATTTAAATATATTTAAACAGTGTGCACTTAGGCACAGTGGTTTACTCTTTAAACTTATTTCCCAGTTTGTAAAATGGTATTATTAGATTAAAGACTAGTTTAGGAATGTAAAATAAATAGACTAAACAAAGCCTAGTTTGAAAAATAGCAACAATAGAAGACAAATGAAATTTCTCATGAGACTCTGCCTTTTAACCAGGTGGTTAGCTTACTATGTAAATACTGTATATATTAAACACAATTTTGTGCAACAAGAATCAATATCAATTAGAGACTTTTTGAATCAAACCCTGAGTGGAAGCCATTTTAATGAAAAGCGGTATGTTGAACTGATGAACCCAATGTTTCTGTGTCACTGGATTCATCTGGGGTCAAAATCACACAATATTTTCAGACTTTTTTTTCCCTGTTAAAATCTTCCTGTCCTCAACCATGTAATATCAAGTGCATGATCCTGCAGCCGTTGTTTCCAAGGCATTCAAAACAGCAAACAAGAAACAAAGCCACTTCTAGACCTTCATTGCCTTTTCCAGTATAGCTTAAGTAGGGACCTTGAATTGACAAAAATGCAGGAAATACTTTCATTATTCAGCCCTGCTCTGCATTATCCTCAAAGGCAAACAGGATTGTAAATTACTTTGCCTGATGTTTTATTCCATATGCCCTGAGCAAGTGGTTAAGTGCACTTTTTAAGCCTCAGTACCAGAAGGCCGTTTCTATTGCCATTTTAACCCATTACCTGTCTGGAGTAAAATAAGTAAATGGTTAAAAAATAAAAACCAGTCAGACCCTCTCCCCTCAATGCAAGACTGTGGTTACTTACAGCAGTCAGAGAAAGACATTACAAAGATTTTACAGATCACTCCAAGCAGCACAATTCAAAAACTATTGTAGTTCAACTCTAACCTTATTACACAACATACTAGGTTAAAGTACAACTTAAAATCACGAATTCTAGTTATCTGCATTTGTTACAAAACAAGGAGGTATTCAAATCACAAATGAGGTTTAATTCTCTGCATCCGGAAGAAAATCTGCATAGCTAGCAATTTTTGAAATTTTACTTGGAATCAAAAATGGAAAGAGAGATGGAGTTGATATGAAATGTCAGACTGACAACAAGAAGAAAAGGTACATAAGAAAGAACAGAAATAAAAGACAAGTGTTGTTTGTTTTCAAATAGTAGACCCTCAAGGACTCCTCCATTACTTGAACCTCTACACATAAAATTCCTTTAAAAAAGGATCTCCACTGATGACTGTCACCTCTTATATAGTGCACAGGTTTTGTTTAAATTCTATTTTATTCAAGGCGAATATTTGTTTCAAGTTCAGTGTACAGTGTCCCTGGGAACAATGTCTCAAAGGCCACATATTCCTCTCAAATTCTAAAACATTGTGCAGATATTAGAGCAAGTAAAAAAACGATCAAATGATGAGAATTGTTCATTAAGGCATTATATAGAGGTTTAAACACACATTATTAAAGTGTAGTGTATCCTAGGGAAAAGAACGTGGCTAGAATCTGAAGCTTGCAGAACTGAAATATATAGGAACATGAGAATATTATACCTTGTGATACCTTCCCAACATCGAGGGAATGGAGAACTTAATTAAAGAAAGCAAGCCGCCTCAGCTATGTAGCCATATCAGAAGCATAGCAATAAGCAGGAATACTGCAGAGGAACTTAAGTTTGTTACTGTTGGATGAATGGACAGAGCAGTATCGAAGTCACCTACTCTAGTAATAAGAATTCCAACACAAACCAGTAATTAGTAATTCTTAATTGCTTCCATAAGTGACATGTTTTTTCCCCACATATTAAGTTTTTCAAAGTTACAGTCATCATTCCTACTTTTTCTCTATATTTGCAACTCCTTATCCTTTCTTTATGTCTTCAAGAAGTGTTCCTCCTCACCTCTAGATTAGAAAACACTTCAGACGTCTCTCATGTTTTCACTCACATTCTAGAAGGAACTAGGAATAAGTCTGTAATGAAAAACCAGGATGACAGAATTCTCCAGCTATCAAAAGAAAAAATCTGCCTTAATAAGACTATTAGAGAAGGTCTGGAGAAAAATCACACCAAAACTACAAGATTCCCATCACTCAGAAAGCAATCACTACTGATTACAATGTACCATCATAAATTACTTTTCTAACGAGAAAAAGGCAGAAACTAATTTGGAGACTACTGCAGCTTGTTTACATGAGGAAATGCACAAACATAGAACACCATTGAGACATTCTTACTCAGAGCTAATTCTTGCTAGGCTGATTTACATTCATTCATTGCTAAAATGAATTAAGATAAATCAAAAGAGGAATAGTTTGGGTGTAAACAAAAAGTGTCTCATGTTAATCTAGTTTAATCAATGCAGTCTAACCAATCCACTTTAAAACTTAATTCAGATTAAACCTGCAATTATATGCACTTAATTCTGGACCACAGGTGTTTTGAAGGAAAGATTTTCTAAAGGCGTAGACTATATGACTATATGACATTTGATGAGAGAATATTCTAAAAGCTTTTGAAAAAGTCCCTCAATGACATCTTTGAAAATGTCATCCTTTACAGGGTGGAAAGGTATCCTCATGAATAAAAAAGATCAGATAGTACAAAAGACAAAAATCCAGTTACAGTGGAAGGCAATCATCAGATGTCCCACAGGGACCAATACAGGAAAACATTCTGTTATACAGATTTGCAAGTAACCTAGAAGAAGGATATCTAGTGGGAGACAATCTGCTGCCAAAATTATTCGAAGTAATCTAAACTAAAATACAGCCTGAAAAGTTGAAGATGACTCATTTGTGGTACTTAAAAATTGGGCAAAAGCAATGCAGCTGCCCTTGAAACATCAATAACAGAATTTTTTTTAAAAAATTCTATACAGATTGATGGACCCCAAAGTATTTATAGGGAAAAATATCTTGGAATCATGAATACTTTCAAGGAATTGTAGAATTGCTAAGTCAATGTTCTGCAGAAGTCAAAAGGTAGACAACCCCAGGAAAGTGAGATATAAAATACAAACCAAGTAATATCATTATGTCACTGCATAAAATTTTTCCTTCATACTCCCATTACTGTACACACTTCTGGTCACCCGAATTCGAAAACTGTGTAAGTATCAGAAAACACAAAGAGAAGAGGGAAAGGCTGATCAGAGAGATGGAATATAAGGCAAGTTTAGATTTTTTAGATTAGTAAACGAACTCAAGCTTCCAGTTAATTGCATCACAATGAACTTGCTACCTCCCTAAAGCACCAGTTTTTGGTGCTGCTGAAGTCAAGACTGCTCTATTGAGAGGACTTTTGGACTCAACCAGTATCATTCTTCTTTAAATGGCCCTTTCCCACATGCATGTTTTTTAAACTCCTGTCACTCTAAAAACTGTACACATAAAAGTAATTAAACATACCTCAAAGTGAACACCTAGCACAAACTAGCACTGCTTAGATCTTTGGCCCACAACTTATTAAGTCATTAAACTGTAAAGCATGATGTTGTTATTAACACATTAACAGTCAAATGGAAACTTTTCTATGATTTTAAAAAATGGGAAGTTTAAAGAGATCTAATTATTTTCTTGTTTAACATCCTCAGAACACCATCACACATGCATTTCTGAGTTACAACTTTCAAGTGTATGGAAGAAAGGAGCTGGAATACAGCTAGATCAAGCTGTACTATGCACAGGTATAGGTACTCAACAAGTATCAAACACAAAACAGATCTCTCAGATCTTTGTCTGGGTACACATATAGTTGGTCAGATATTTATTATATGAGTAAATTCCAGATTGGATGACCTGAAAGAAACATTGCTGTGCAAGACTTTTAGGCACCTCATCATTGACAATCATAACCTCTGGCTAACACAAGTGAAATTTATAACAACATGAATAAAATAAATTCAGGTATCAAACCAAAAATGTATTCTACCCAGTTTACACCGATTTTCTTTATTTTAGTGGCTAAGTGTTCACTATTTACCTAAACTAAATCATAGAATCATAGAATGGTTAGAGCTGGAAGGGACCTCAAAGATCATCTAGTTCCAACCCCCCTGCCATGGGCAGGGAAACTCTCCACTACACCAGCTTGCCCAAAGCCTCATCCAACCTGGCCTTGAGCACTTCCAGGGATGGGGCATCCACAACTTCTCTGGGCAACCTGTTCCAGTACCTCACCACCCTCTGAGTAAAAAATTTCTTCCTTATATCTAATCGAAATCTGCCCTCTTTCAGTTTAAAGCCATTGCCCCTTGTCCTATCCCTACACACCCTTGTAAAAAGTCCCTCTCCAGCTTTCCTGTAGGCCCCCTTTAAGTACTAGAAGGCTGCTATAAGATCACCCCAGAGCCTTCTCTTCTCGAGGCTGAACAGTCCTAACTCTTTCAGCCTGTCTTCATAGCAGAGGTGTTCCAGCCCTCTGATCATCTTTGTGGCCCTCCTCTGGACCTGCTCCAGCAGCTCATGACAGAATAGCCAAAAAGTCTATTTTTACCTTAAGTGCCTTTCCATTTCATTGTATTTAGTTCCGTTCATGCGGTTGTGTTTTACATAAAGTTGAAATTAATTTAATACTAAGACGCACCAAAGAATTTCTTTGTCCACGCTCCCCCACCCTCCAGTTACTTTCAAGTTCATTCAAGACCTCATGATTTGGCTGCTTCTCTTATGTCCAAATGCATGAGTTCTTTAAAGAACATGGTATGCTCTTGCATAGAGGAACAGGGTAAGTCTCTTAAGTTTCAATCCAAATTTAACAATAAGCCCAAAAATACTTTCCCCAACAGAAGAAGTCAGGAAAAAAGAAAATCTGTGTAAAATGTGCATGTACAAAAGTGTATGTGGAGGTATGTATACTGTATGTCAAGGTAATAAGGGTGAGGAATCCTTGCTTTATGTCTCTGTGACTTATAGAATGGTTAGAGTTGGAAGGGACCTCAAAAATCATCTAGTTCCAACCCCCCTGCCATGGGCAGGGAAACCTTTATAGCAGACAAAACCCAAGGCAACTGTGTTATGTCAACTCTCAACCACTGTTGCCATAGTAAAATCAGTGTTTAAAATACATGTGCAGATCTTAGGAGTTCCAGTAATGCTTTATTCAATGTTGAAATTTCAAACTTGGATGCTCAGTAATTATATAGTCTGAATACTACTTTCCTAAACGTGTGAAAATATGCTTATCCTTTTCGGAGTGAACGGGCTAGGGAGCTGGACAAGACGACCTTTAAAGGTCCCTTCAAACCCAAACCATTCTACGATTCTGTGAAGGAATATATCCATTTTCAAACATAAAAGGTGTAAATTATTTTAGGATAATGATATGGCACTCAAATTATAAATACGAGCTTCTTCCAAATGCATACTTTAATCCAAAGTCCTAAACATACTGAGGAAGATAAATTCCTGGAAGTTATTATGAAAAAAATTACAGGGACAAATGTAAAAACACATACAACAACCATCCTGGAGAGCCTACAGCATCACTATCACTGCTTTCTTCTTGAATAAGCAGCATGATTCAGATTCAGATTTTGAACTTTAGTTTATTCCTACAACTGCTCTGTTCCCTGACTGTTCTCCTACTACTTAAACCATTTTCTGATACTCTGTACAACCTCATTGTTGGAGAACATGAAGATGTCAAAGTAGTTCAAGTACTGCATATCTTTTTTTTTTCCCCCTTATTCAACTTGAAAAAGGATTTGATTTTCAAAAAAAATTCTCTGTATTTAAAACTCAAAAAGTTTACTCAGAAGTATTAATTGTATACAATAGCTACAAAATGCTTTTAAGTGTTAAACAGAATATTTAGAAAACAACTATTTCCTCTTGTACAATATGTGGAAATAAGATGACAAACACATCTGGTGAAGTGCCAAAAGATGTGTATAATTAGATGATACACAATTCATGAGACTGTAATTATCAATCAAAATATTGCCCAAATCTTCTGAAAACACAGGTGATTATTATAAAATGGGTAATACTGATTTGATATGTAATTAGCAGCAGTATCTTATAGGCTCTTTTGATTCTGGATATCAGCAGTCCAGTAGAATTATATTTTCTCTACATTAGCTTGGAAGTTTCATCATCAGCTCTTAGCGGGCAAAGATTTATTTGTTTAATTTGTTCAGTAAGCATGAACTGAAAAGACAACATTTCCTTTTTCTTTTAATATTCCAAACTTTGCCAAATTCAACTACGGAAAATAGAAGACTAACTGATTTAGAAACTATTTACCGCTCCATCATCAATAAATGTGCAATTATATGAAACTCAACAGTCTAGTTATAGCATCTGCAGAAAAAACAATTATTGACAGATCAAAATCTGTCATCTTTAGGGTATGATGCAATAGGTAGCTAATGGTCTTCAGCCCTACACTATAATTTAGGATAGACCACCAATTGTTTTATCAATAACTGGCACTGTGAGGAGAATTTGGGAAGTAAATATTGACATACCTAAATATCAATTTAATCTAAGGATAGATAATAGGCAATAATACAAATTTTACTGTTAAATGCCACAGAAACTTAAACAACCGGAAGAAAAATAAAATGCAGCTTCAAGAAACACTGCAACATACTCATTGCAGCATGTCTGGTACCATGGGAAGGTCAGGTGATTTGAGGGTAGGGAAAAACATTTAAAATAAATTTTTTTAAACTCCACCCCAGATCAGTAACACAATGGGCTTCACTCTGTTAAAAGCTGCTTTGCCCTTATTTTCATTTCAGCTTACTGACTCCACGTTCTAAATCTACTATTCACCTTGGCCTAAGGGTACTAGCAATACTCAACTTATTCAGAGATGTCTTTCAAAATAGCTTCCCAGATCTAAGGCAGCAATTGGTGCCATCTGATAGTTTCTATTTCCTCTTCCTTAAGATTATAAAAACAAGATTTTATGTCAAAAATAAAAAATTATGTTGTATTTCTCTAATATAGCTATTTCCATTTATGGCTCAAATTGAAAGGAGATGGTGTGATTTCTATCAGCCAACAAGGAAAATAAGACACTGTGCACAAATACTCACTGTAATGTTATCCAAGAGTTTGGCCATATGCTTAATAATTTCACCATGGTGCGCTGGCTGGGTCTGCAGCAGTTTCTTAATGACAACAACACTTTCAGCAACTACAATTTCTGTTTAAGACAAAACAAATTATTAATTTTAAAAGCATTTTGCAAAAGAAAAAGCCATAAATAATTGATTGTAAAAGATGTTATCAGTTTTCAAAATATGCTTTGTAAAACTGAATTCTATTTACTTTGGAATAAAGATGTAAACCACTCTACTAAGGAATACAAGTTCAGCTTCCAGAATCAAGTTATAAGCAGCAAAAAGAGGACAGAGAAGTGTTCTAAATGTAAAAATATCACCCTACTACATACTTTTTTAAAACTGCCTTTTAGTAAAGCTGCATTTTGTATTTTTCCTTTTGAAATTGAGGAATAGCATGAAAAAACATCTAATTTTCATTGAAATTATGCGTATAAGTAATTTGCTGTCTGCATTAAAAATATAAACTTTTGGTTACTTTTCAAAGAAATATACAATGTTAAAAGTAACAGCTCATTCATAAACAAGAGAAATATCTAAACATTTCCTTTGCACTTTTTCACCTTCTAAATGGTCTCTCTCAGGTCTGTAACCTAAACTCCAGTACATTCAAATGAAAATTCTAAACAGCAAGCTGTTGTAAAATTTGTGCCAAAGTCATGCATTGGAGTGCTTAACTACTGTAACAAGAAACACTCACAGCCTGAACAACTTGTATGAAATGTACAACTTCTGAAGCTGAAAAAAACCAATGTTGCAGAGGTAAGTCTCTATGCAAGAGTAAACTCATGCAGTAAGGAAAGATGAAGGAAAGTCAAACATGGCCGAAGCTGAAACCAAAACAAAAGACTACTGTAAGACTCCAATACAATTCCGATTTTCATTTATGCTACAAAAAGGGAGTAACTATTTCTCCTAAATGATCAGTGTTTAAAACAAAGAAAAATCCTAACTGTGATTCATCAAACATCACAGAAGTATTCCTACATTTCAAGCATTAAATCAACCATTCATTCAGCAATCAAGCAAGCTGAAGTTTTAAAAGAACATTACGGGGAACAGATCTCTAATTTTTTTTTTTTTTAAAGCAAGCTTCTTTATGGAGAAAGGCTTTTCAAAAGCTCTGAGTATGCATCACTGCCATAAGCCTCTGAAATGCTTACATTTTAGCTTGCAGCTTTTTGTTCATCCTTTATTTGACGTGATATTTCATTCATTTTTCTAGATCAATTTCTTGAAGCAAGGTTAACATATCTGCTTCACATAGCTCAAGGTCTTGCACAATCCTACAGACCAATTTAATTTAGAATGTGTTTTGCCAAATATTAAAACAAGACAACAATTCTCAAAATTTTAAAAATACAATCTGGAATATTTAGAGTGGGGGACATTGCAATGACAACCTTCATCATTGAGTGTTTTGTGAGACTGCTTAACAAGTAGAATGGTTAAGTGAGAAAAACTGAATCTAAAAAAATGAGTGAGCATGAAGTCATTATTAAAAACACTTGTTGACAATGTAGAACTGATCATGATAAAATGAAGTGTAGTAGATGAAGTGTCACCATAGGAACTACTTCAATCTGTGCAAGCAAATTAAAATAACTGAACCAGAATTGTAAGCAAGTAAACTCGTACGGTTCCTTTTACATGACTCTAGATACCAAAAAAGAAAGCACAAACAAAATCAAAATGAATTTGTATTAGAATAAGGAATGACAGTCCAGAAGAGAGGCTCTTTGAGGCTTGCTTTGTGCATGTCAAGAATCCCAAAAACAAGCATGAAATTCAAGACACACATTTAGGTTCAAACACCAAAAAACTGAACGAGCAGTAAGAAAATTTAAAAACGTAACTCTGCTAGAATTACCAAAGAAAAAGTGCATACAAGGTGAGAATTTCAAAACAGAGTGTAAATTATATCTAAAGGGTGATAAAAAGTAAAACGAATTCTTAAAATAAAGACTAAATATCACAGAAAATCTGGAATGCCTTTAACAATAAAGCAGACTGCAAGAGGTATCAGCAGTTTCAATTTTCAGAAGTTATAGTAAAAATCTTTATATACTGTTCACCATCCGTTTTCTTAAAAAAAATTTGAAGATGGAATGATTATTCTCTGAAGATCCTGCAGCATGACAACTTCTCAAAACCCTAAAATACATTCAGTCATACAATGTTCTATTTTGCCAAAAAATGATATACATAAAAAATAAACAACGTAGTGGACAGTAACTTGTGGGGACCAAATTACAGATTTTTTCGTAATTGAGAATCTGATCACATTATAACAGAAATTCAGAAAGAGACCTTAGCAAGGAGTGCATTACCAGAGAACATTCAAGAGCTACGTTCCGAAATACTAAATTTGATACCATTGATATTGAGTGAAATGTTCTTTCACTTACATTAACCAATACTTACAGAAACTAAAACTTGCAACTGAAGACTAATTTCCCCACAGCTTATGATTTGCATAATCACTATTTCTAAAAGCAGCAAAACTGCATCAACTTTTTGGAAGGAATAAACCAAATGAATCTCATAGCAAGGCCGTACAAGAGATTAAGTGCACCCTTAGCAAATTTGCAGATGACACCAAGCCGAGTGGTGCAGTTGACACCTGAGCCACACAAGTACACACACACACACACAGAGAAATTATGATGGCCCAACAGAGATAAAAGCGATTTATAAGTGTCGTGGTTTAGGTCCAGTCAGCAACTAAGCACCACATGGCCACTCACTCATTCCTGTCCCCACGCTGGGATGGGAGGAGACAATATAACAAAACCCTCATGAATCAAGACAAGGACAAGAAGGGATCCCTCATCAATTATGGTCATGGGCAAAACAGACTCAACTTGGGAAAAAAAAAATTTGACTTGTTACCAATTAAATCACAGTAGGGTAATGAGAAATAAACCCAAATTTTAGAAACACCTTCCCCCCCGCCCCTCCCTTCCTCCTGGGCTTGACTTCACTCCCAATTTCTCTACTTCCTCCCCTGAGTGGTGCAGGGAGATGGGGAATGGGGGTCGTGGTCAATTCATCACACATTGTTTCTGCCGCTCCCTTCTCAGGGGGAGGATTCCTCATGCTGTTCCCCTGCTCCAGTGTGGAGTCCCTTCCCACAGGAGACAGCTCTCCACAAACTCCTCTGATGTGAGTCCTTCCCTTGGGCTGCTGCTCTTCATGAGCTGCTCCTGGTGGGTCCCTGGCAGAGGCTGCAGTTCTTCATGAACTGCTCTAGCATAAGTCCCTCCCACAGGGTGCCATCCTTCAGAAATGGACTGCTCCACTCCGGGCTTCCCACAGAGTCACAGTATTCTTTGGGTGCAAACAACTGCTCTGGCATGGGGTCCTGCACAGGCTTCAGGGAGATCTCTGCTTCTCCATTAACTTCCATGGGCTGCAGAGGGACAGCCTGCCATCTCACCATGGGTTGCAGAGGAATCTCAGCTCCACTGGACCTCCTCTCCCCCTCCTTCTTCACTGATCTTGGTGTTTGCATAGTTGTTTCTTTCACATCCCACTCCTCTCTCCCATCACCTCTCATATGAAGACAGGCTGAGAGAGTTGGGGTTGTTCAGTCTGGAGGAGAGAAGGCTCCAGGGAGACCTTATTGCAGCCTTCCAGTACTTAAAGGGGGCTTGTAAGAAACACGGGGACAGACTTTTTACTAGGGCCTGTAGCGACAGGACAAGGGCTAACGGTTTTAAACTAAAGGAGGACAGATTCAGACTAGATATAAGGAACAAATTTTTTATGATGCGGGTGGTGAAACACTGGAACAGGTTGCCCAGAGAGGTGGTAGATGCCCTATTCCCAGAAACGTTCAAGGTCAGGTTGAATAGAGATGTCAGGTTGGGGCTCTGAGAAACCTGATCTAGTTGAAGATGTCCCTGCTTATTGCAGGGGTTCAGATTAGGTGACCTTTAAAGGTCCCTTCCAACCCAAATCATTCTATCATTATTTGGGTTATTAGAACGTTATACAAATGGTTAAAATTAAAATTAAACCTGAAGTTCGAGCTTTTACCCGGTTAATTTTTCCACCCCTGTAACATGAATAAAAGAACTCCAAACCCACATTAATACATATAAACTGAATGCTACAAAGAGTGGTTTTCTTTTATGTCATTCTAACAGTAATTCCAATAGATAGGTAGTAGTTACCTGACATTATTTACAGTTCCAGTGATTTTACGACTTGCCTGTTCAAATTTGTATAGATTAGTGGAAAACAAAAAGGTTTAGCTATACATCCTACAATGTGTTTACATTCTCTTTAATTCGTAAGCTGCAACTTTCAACAGAAAAAGAAAGTCACCTATCTGAAAAAAACCTGCAGGATCTCCAGTACCTGCAGCACAGACAGACAAAAGAGACTTCCTATAATCCCATCTCTTACATCTAAAATGACTTTTATGTCATAGTGGGGCCAGCGGTCAGTTGAAATTATCAAGGGAATTGCTTAAAGCAAATACATGTGTCAAATGCCAAATGCCACATTGAAGAGCCAAAATAACTTTTCACACTTCCTTCAGCAGATGAGGAAGGAAAATAATTCTCAGCTCTGAACTTGGCTTCCAGAAACAAGGCTCTGGGGGATTTGAGAACTGCTCATGAAACTTTTTTTGCATATTTATGACTGCTCTGTTTAAAGTCAAATTTTCCCGATTCACGCACGCTGGGAGTTACAGTAAAACCCACATTTGAATCACAGAAGCGTATATGGAAACTAGAAAGTTCAGTGATGAGACACTCAGAGCTCTACGAAGAGTTATCCCCACTGGAGCTGACTGACTCATAGCTTGGCTGTTGAGTTGCATGTACTGTAAAGGCCTCTCCGAAACAAGAGCATAGAATTAGAATACAGTTTTGCCACAAGCTCATTCTTCAGGATTCTATTTTGATTTGGTAAAACTTATTTGGCCACCTCTCTTTCACACTTAAGAGAATTCCCTACAATAAGAAAACAGTGTCAAGAAACCAGAACCTACTCCACTTTCAGGAACTTTAGAACCCACCGGACTTACCAGCTTGGGCTTCACACTATGGCAAGGCAGCAGAACTGCTTCCAGGCTTTGAACAACCATGGCAGAAGTAACACAGCAAACAGACTGCTTGCATGCTTTAAGGGTGAAAGTTGGAGGAAAACAAGACTATCCAAGACTCTTAAATCTGTTCTCCTACAGATGCTAAATCTTCTTTTTTCTCCCCACCATGCCCCAAAATCTTATGTTCAGTAAGCTGTGACTATGAGTAATTTCCTGCCACCTGAGGAAAGGTACCATGTAAATTATGCCATTCTATTCATTCCTTGAAAGAAGGAATAAAGATACTGAAGCTATCTATGGTAAAGCAATTTGCCAGCTGCCAGGTTTAAAAGATCCTCAATATATCCTTTGCAGTCTTTCAGAACAGTAAGCACAACACGATAATTTTATTTGCTAGACAACTACTTAGAAACAGTCAGGAAAACTAATCTTGTTGAGGCAGACCTCTGCATACATGCACATGCACATATGTGTGTATATATATATGCACAGAATTACTTTGAAGAAGATATTAAATTCAGAAGCTATGATAAAAGATAAAACGCCTTTTCCTCTTATCTTGGTTCCTTCTAGGAAAAAGAAAAACGAAGCAAGAAAACAGAATGAAGATTATCAAGTAACAACCTCAGTATTCTAAAGTGATAGTTTTATTATTCTATTTAAGATAGAAAAAAAACAGGTACTTGTACATGCTGAAAGGAGCCTACTCACCTAGAGAAAGATTGCTAGTAGAATTAAGAGAATCAAGAACAAGCTTTGAAGCTTGTATTTTCAATACGGTCATTGCTGAACGTAATACAAAACGTGCAGACACGGCCTTGTAACACAATATGGGAAGGTATTTTAAACATAGTTGATAACCAGAAAAGTATAAAGGGACATAAGGTCTGAAGCACAGAAAATTTAAGTTACATATATTAAAATTTTCGAGCTATACACTGAGGCCTCTCAGGAATTTCTGATACAAGGTGACGTGGGAGAGACAGAGGACTCATAGTTCATAAAGTAAATAAGAGAAAGCTCTGAGTGTATCAGTGGGTCAAAGGATGACTATGTGCTGCCAAAGTGATGACTCTAATAAAAGCCCTCTTTGGATTACTGGAAAAATATGTGCAGAAGATGAGGAGAGGAATTAATGCCACTTTTCAAAGCTCAGAGTAGGTCTCACCTGTGTCCTCTGAACAATGCTAAATTACTCTAGTCCACCCCAAAACCACGCTTTCCCTCTTTTTTAACTGCATCTTTCTTAACTCCATTTTCAATATTTAACCATATTATTTTAGACTGTACATTATACAATAATCTTTCAATTCTCTTATTGACTCCTGTGTAATATTCATTGGTAACTAGCAAGAATATACAATATTATCAGATATTGATTTACAGTGCTGCTATATCCTATTTGACTTTATCTGCTGTTTGTTGTGTTGCTTACTGACTTGCAACTCTGTTTCACTACATAAAAATAACATAGGGCCAGATTACAAAATCAAGCTAAATTTAGGGCCGTTTATCCTAAAATTATTTAATATGTTTTTTCAGTTAGGCATTGATGCACTAAAAAACCCCCACATTCCAAGCTTTCAGCACCCTCTACAGGCTAACTGTTTTGATGCAACTAAATATACAACAGTAAAACACACTGTCGTCTATAATAATCACAACAGCACACTTAAATAATTCAGCATTTCAGGAAAAACCAGGTAAACATGTAACTGCAGGCCACAAGGAATTAATTTCACTAACAAAAGAGAAAATAAATACCCAGTGATTATGAGAGTCTTTTGAAGTGCTTCAAACAAGAATAAGCACCCGAATCACTGTTTTAATCCAGTCATGTCAACTAAGTTCTTATAAAAGTCAACTCCTATATACTTTTTTAATGTGATCTGCTCTGTGAAGTGCTCATTAAGAAAAGGTTTCATGCCATCAGCTACTCAGAAAACAAACAGAAGATGTGGCTTACCATCCCTGTTGGACAGCAAACATACGAGGCCATTAAGGCATGTGTCAGTCACTTCGGTGATGTTAGTTGCGCATCTGCCTATGGCTTGAATTGTAGCTGCAGCAAACTGTTTATCTTGGCTTTTCACATAAGTCTAAGGAAACAGGATTTTCATTAGTCAATACATAAGTCTTGTCAACCAAAGACTTACCATATTATCCTCAAAAGACAGACGTACTGTATGATAAATTCAATCTAGAAAGCTACATCACACATTAGAAGCTATACTTTTTTCACCTCGTCACTTTCAGAAGACATTTTCTTGCCGGCTTTGGTCACCCATGGCCATGCAAACCTCTGGTTTCAAGAAAGCTCAGGGCAGGGGGCAATTACCCAAAACCAGCAATTAGTTTGTGTCCAAGGTTGGAGGAGTTGATACGCTCTCTCTTCAGAAAAGTTTCAGTTCATTTAACCAGGAGCATCTGTGAAACTATGAATAACCTACCTGCCTGAGAACCAGTACCTTTCAGAGAAATCCAGCCAGAGAACTGAAGCAATGAAAATAGACGTCATAAGCAGAGAGGGAAGAATGAAGGACAGACACTGTTTCACAATATAGGCAGAACATCTTCCTGATACATGTACAGATATTGGAGATAATATTATTTCATCAAATGACTTACAGAAATGAGTTTTGGCAATAAATGCTAATGGCCAAATACTGCTAAAATTAAGACCCTATCATATAAGTGACTTAAAGTGTCAGTCTTGTTGGTGGAATTTGTTTTAAAGAATTTGGAATGATTGAGTTTCTCAACGCTTCTTTTTTTGTAGCTGGAAGGAGAGTGAAAAACAAAACATTGATACTCCTTTATACATATAAAAAGCTCCATTATCCATTATGACATGACAGTTTCATTTCCATTCCAAGGACATCTTATCCTGGAAAAGACTTTAACTTGAAAAATGTAAGACTAAGAATCTAAATGAAACATCCAATAATGGCAACTGACCAGAGAGTGTTCCATATAAAAAGAATGTACTGTTGCACAAACCTGAAATTCTCGAAGCAGAGTTGATATGTTGGCTTCATTAGCTAAATTTGTCAAGATTTCAAGCTACAAGACAAAACCCAGATATTTTATCAAAAGCTAAAATAAAATACTATAAACAGTACTACATATACACTATACTTTTATTGTATATAAATAAAAGATAATACTACTTAAAAATACCTCTTAGAATTCAATAGCATATACCAGATTTCAGCATAAACTGCTAGCAGCATTACCTTTAGGAAGAATATTTTCCTTGCAAGTACACATAAGGTTTTCAAAGCAGGACTATAGAGTTCAGTGATGCATTTTGTACAAGTTCTAGCTTTAGAGTTGTGCTGCGTAACAAATGGGCCTAAATACTTCTGGCAGCACAGTTTCCAATGTTATACAACAGGCCTTAGCACATGAGAACCATGTGACACTAAGAATAAATAACAGAAATCACATCTGCAGCTGGGGAGAAACAGAGTGTCCATTCAGATGAACTGCAATAAAAGACCTGTAAGCTCAAAAAGAAACAGTTGCAACTATGCGACTCCTCAGATCTTGGATTTGACAGATGGACCACTTGATGGATAAGGAACTGGATGGATACAGTCGCACTCAAAGAGTTGCAGTCAACGAGTCGATGTCCAAGGGGAGGCCAGTGATGAGTGGTGCTCCTCAGGGGTCAGTATTGGGGCTGGTGCTTTTTAACATCTCTGTCGGCCACACGGACAGTGGGATTGAGTGCACCCTCAGCAAGTTTGCTGATGACACCAAGCCGTACGGTGTGGTCAACATGCTGTAGGGAAGGGATGCCATCCAGACAGACTTTGACAAGCTTGAGAGGTGGGCCTGTGCAAACCTCATGAAGTTGAACACAGCCAAGTTCAAGGTGCTGCAAATGGGTCGGGGCAATCTGAAGCACAAATATAAGCTGGGAGGAGAATGGACTGAGAGCAGTGCTGAGGAGAAGGACTTAGGGCTCTGGGTTGATGAGAAGCTCAGCATGAGCTGGCAAGGTGTGCCTGCAGCCCAGAAGGCCAACCGTATCCTAGGCTACACCAAAAGAGGTGGGGCCAGCAGATTGAGGGAGGTGATTCTGCCCCTCTACTCTGCTCTCGTGAGTACCCACCTGAAGTACTGCATCCAGCTCTGTGGACCCCAGCACAGGAAGGATATGGACCTGTTTGAATGAGTCCTGAGGAGGGCCACGAAGATGATTTGAGGGCTAGAGTTCCTGTCATATGAAGACAGGCTAAGAGATCTGGGGCTGTTCAGCCTGGAGAAGAGAAGGCTTCAGGGAGACCTTCTAGCAGCCTTTCAGTACTTAAAGGGGGCCTACAAGAAAGCTGGAGAGGGACTTTTTACAAGGGTACGTCGTGATAGGGGACAATAGCTTGAAACTGAAATAGGGTAGATTTAGGTTAGATATAAGGAAGAAATTTTTCACTCAGAGGGTGGTGAGGCACTGGAACAGGTTGCCCAGAGAAGCTGTGGATGCCCCATTCCTGGAAGTGTTCAAGGCCAAGCTGGATGAGGCTTTGAGCAACCTGATCTAGTAAAAGTGGTCCCTGCTCATGGCAGGTGGATTGGAACTGGATGATTCTTCCAATCCTAACCATTCTATGATTCTATGACTATGACTTTAATCAACATCAACGACTTCAGACTCTGAAAAGTCTCTTCTTTGTTCCTGTGAACAACAGTATGATGTACAATACCTGGCATATATTGTTAAGATGCTATGCTTCCAGGCTGCTTTAACTTTGAAGAATTCCAATACAATCTGAATGAGGTAAACTAAAGAAAAAGATAACTCTGACTCTGTAAAGGGAAGTCATGCCTCAGAATTCTATTGGTATTTTGAGTTGGATATACATGACAAGGACCCTTCACTGATACAGTCCACCTGTACTTCAGCAGCAATCTGATAAGACCTGTTATCAAAGGCTCTTAAAGATACATATCTAGCATAGCACACAAAGCAAGTGGATAAATAAAGGAGAGGAAGGGGCACTAAAAAAAAAGAGACTGTTCTACAGTACAGGAAGGCTATCAATGGGATCCCACGGGTGTATTTGTTGAGCCTTTGCTTTTCAACATATTCACGTATGAACTGTGAAAGTAATGAGAAGACAGATGGCAAAATTTTCAGCTGATGCTGCAGTTTTCACAGAAATTAAGACAACGCCTGACTAAGAAAAGCTGCATAAAAACTACAAATACTAGATGACTAGTTGATCAAATGGCAAAAAAAATCAATACAGATAAATGTAAAGTAATGTTCATAACTGGGGAAAAACCTTAACTTTACAGAAAACAATAGGCTCCGAGCTGATTACAACCAATTCTAACTGAGAATTTGTGGTTAAAATAGAGAAGTTCATAAGCTCAATGCTAAACAGTGATCAAAAAAGCAAATGATGTTTGGAAAGAAATAGAGTACAAAACAGTGCAGCAGATGAATTCCAAGGTGCTCCTGCATCTTAAATACTGCCACAGGTCTTGTCCACCTACCTTAAAGCAGATAGGATAGAACTATGCAGGTAGGGGGTGGAGAAAAGCACAAGATTTTCTTATGTATGAAACAGCGTAGGTTTTTGTAAATTTTTTGGCCACCTAGAAAGAACTGAGACAGTGAAAGGAAAAACCACAATTTCTACTTCTCCATCTCTTCACCATTGTACTATCAATTAATATGGGAATTTAAATATATCAACTTTTAATTATTTCAAGAGTGACTCTTCCTTGGTAACACTAAATCTACTAGTATTCCCGACAGTCTTCATGATCATTTATGTGGGGAAAATCTTTTTGCGTCCTACTGCCTCAAATGTACTTGATGTCAGACTAAGAAAAATATGATGGGTTTGGCATAGCTATCTTGGACTGGACCACTCTCCACATGTAAGAAGGGTGCAACATGGATGTAAGATGAAAATAAGGAAGAAATAATGTTTTTTTAAGAAACCTGTACCTTCCACTCCTAAACACAAGTGCCTACAACAATCGAAAGCAAAAGAAGAGAAAAGGCACATAATAGTAGACAATTTTTAGCTATTGTTTTGTCAAGGATTTCACATCCATTAAAGACCAAGAATAGAGAAAACAAGAAGACAGCCTAAAACATGCACTGAGATGTGGCCTTGAGGAAAGCCTAAAGTACTTCTCACATTGAATGCTGATTTCAAAGTGAATTTGGGACTCTCACACTGTCCCATTTTGTTCAGGGAAACAGATTTAAACTCTTTTTAAGCTAGCAGTATCCAAGACTGCATGATTACATTTCTCTTCATTTGAGAAGATTCCTCCTCCCATGAAAACAGTCAAACTCTACATGTTTGAATGGCTGGCTACATAAAAACAGTAATGCTCTGTATCACTGAAAGGTACCAAAAGCTGTAGTGGAAAACATAGCCCATTTGCCATCTACAACATCGTAACAAGAGAACTTTCAGATAGCCTAACAAGCCTGAAGGGCACTTGTAGACTTAACTAAAAGCCATAAATCTATATTTCTCAGTGGAGAAAAAAAAAAAGGAACAGCACAGAATGATGTGTGCCATATCACTGCAAGAAACTGTTGCAAACAAATCTGTTGCAAACAGATTTGTCCAGCAGTATATAGACTAGTTCAGTTTTAGACTCACCTTCAGTGTTTTGATCATTGTTGGATCAGTTGATCTAACATAAAAACTCTTCAGGTAAGGTTCATATGTGCCCTGAAAAGCAGAAAATGTTTAAGTAACTTGCTGGTGTTTCATATAAAATGGGATTTAGAAAATTCTAAATAGGGTGTACCTTCCGCTGAATTGACATAGTGGCAATATTTTGCAGAACAATATACTGCACCTCCCTAGAATTTGAAAAGAAAAACAAGAGTTATTCTGTAAAATTACAAATACATAAAATAATGCAACATGGTAAAGACAGTCCAATTCTATTTGAATCCAAAGTTAGTTATACATTTGACTGGGCACAAATATAAAAGGAAAATCCTTATTGCTAACTGCGACAAGGTTCATCATCTGCTTCACAGGAAGATGCATGATGAAACCAGGCTCTCATTTTTAAAATCAAGATGCAGAAAAATCACTGACACCAGTTGAATTCTGCAATGCTTCTTGTAGGCCTTAGGTCTCTGTTTAAGCAAAAAATTCCTTTAAAACATTGCCTTCCTGGCATGTTCGGAAACATCTCACAAAACCTTACATTTTGTCCACCATCTTGAAACGCTAAGTATTTGAGGATTACAGAGCTGAGACCAAAACCACATGGGCTTTATCTGTAGCGTGGAAACAACTGCATTAGCTACAAAAACAGCTAATCCTTGGACAACTAGCAAGAGCTGCTATGACTTTTTTGGTCTTAAAGAAATTTCCTAGTAATTCTCAAAAATGGCCCAGGGTCTTTTGCGACATAAAAGTACACATTGGCAGACATACACACCTATTAAAAAGCAGCATTTTAACATAATAGACTTTGTCAAGATACAGACAACAGAATCATATTCTACACACAAAACCAAACATATTTGGAGGATATTCTCATCATTAATGTATTAGTTTAAAAGCCTCAGCAGAAGTGAGCAAAAAGTCTGGCTACTAGTCTAAAGCTTTTAAACTACAGAGTTTCTGCCACCAATTGCTTAAAAACTAAGTAATAATTTACACACAATATTCTGAACCACGAGTGCTCAAATTCTTTCATGATGCAAATCACATCCTAATAGTGAAAACATCACATCCATTATCTCCTCTTATTCAAAACTGTCTAATAGCCCTGTAGTAATTACAGCTGTTGCTTACAAAGAAAAGTAGTAATAGAGAAGTACTTAATATCTTTTAAACCTATTTTTATGTAATTCTTACATAGGTACATGGAAATAGTCAGCTGCACATGATGAACCAAGACTGAAAATTGCCATGAAATGCTCTTCCAGGCACTCTCACCCTAACTAGATTATCATGTATTTGACATTAATTTAAAGGCCATAGGCACATATGCACATTCACACATAGGCACATTCAAGGGCAAACAGCAAAAGCTTATTTCAAAGTGACTCTAATAGCAAAAGCGTTTCACAGATTCGTAACAGAGAACAGACAAACCATTCAACTTAGGAAAATCAGAAGCCTAGTGCCATTTTAGGAACTAGCTGAGGTACAGTAAAGATGTGACTTCTCTTTTGATGAAACTTGAGTAAAATCGAGCTATGAACAACGTACAGAAATAATCCTTTCAGCCTGTGAGTATAAGTTTAGTTCTATACATTACCTGTACACATGTCAAACTGCTTTAGCTATTTCACTTATTTTTGCATAAAGAGAATGGAAAGAATACTGTACTATAAAACCAAAGAGAAAAATAAAAATGATTAATTTTTATCTGAAATAAAAGCATGAATACCAAGCCAAATTTTACTACTTTAACTCATAAATGATAGAGACATTAGTCATGGGTGAACTACAGAAGTTTATGGAGAAACAGCTCTATGGTGACTGGGCTTACAAAAGTTAAAGTCAATGTGAGATGAGTAATCTTGTCAGACACAACAAAAGTGATTTTTTTTTTAAAAAAAAGCTTTTTGTCTGTTTGATGTGACCAAAAAATAAATCATTTTCACAGCAGTGTTCAAGCCAAAAATACCATGTTTAGTCAGAAAGTTATTCTGAAAACATCTTAATATTAGTCTCCTAGGACCTCTTCAAGGCCTTTTATATAGATACATGGAAGTTCAAAATCTAAAGAACTGAGCAAAAAAAAAACCCCACTTTTACACAGCAAATATTGGCATAATACGCCAAACCTACTAAATACAAAGGAAAAAAGTGTATTATGAATTTTATGAAACATGTGGCCACTGAGACCCTTTGTGGGAAAGTAGACAAGGTCACACTGAAGATGATAAAGTCAAAATTAGATGTCCTGAATTAAATATAAACTTGTTCTTCAACACAATCTAAGGATTAAGGCAACACAGGGGATTCAGCAGCACCAAGTGGTATTTTAACAAATATGTTTCTTAGTTTCTTCGCCAACAAGAAGCCTTCAATACAAAGTGCAGGAAAAGAAACCATACATCTGAAGACGTCTAGTGCCTAGCAAGATAGTACGGAACTCCAACATAATTAGATTTCCAATGACTTCCAATAATTAAAAAAAAAATAAAAATCAAGAAACCAGGCAAGTTATTTAGTACTGCCTCTATTTGTATGTTTACTAGGCAGTCATGATTCTTCTTTGAATGAAAGTAATAATTAAGAATGAAACATGATATGGATAGATTTAGATTAGAAATAAGGAAGAAATTTTTCAGCCTGAGGGTGGTGAGGCACTGGAACAGGTTGCCCAGAGAAGCTGTGGATGCCCCATCCCTGGAAGTGTTCAAGGCCAGGTTGGATGAGGCTTTGAGCAACCTGTTGTAGTGGAGGGTGTCCCTGCCCACGGCAGGGGGCTTGGAACTAGATGATCTTCGAGGTCCCTTCCAATCCAAACCATACTATGATTCTATAATACTGAACGATCACTGGATGTGATACTGAAAGTGACGGAATTACTTTTAATGATCCTATTTGTTGAGGAAAAATTAGTATTATAGGACAGTTTTATAATGAAACTCTAATAGTGCAATAGTTACCTTCTTATAACTACAGCTAAACAAGGATGTACGAGAAACTCTCAAAAAAAGTAGACATAGCAACATGAAGTACAGACTTGACCTACCTATTACTACGGAGTAAACGCACCAGTGACTTTGAAACAATACCAGCTTCGGATTTTGGTGCCAAATGCCAGTAAAGCTGTGCAACTGCCATTACCACCTAAAAGAAGAACATTCAGAACAGCATTTCAAATCATTATACATATCTATCACATTCACTTCAGACCTGCAGAACTACTAACTCACTCTTCTTCAGAAAGCAAAGTGCATATCCATGTTCTTCAAAATCAACAAAGATGATCAGGGGAAAAAAAATCAGAATAAATATATTTTTATTTCTAAAATCAAAGCTAATTAAGTACGTCTTAGTGCTCCCAGTATTTATTGCATACTGTAATATGGAGGAAGAGGAGCAAAGATAAAGAAATGTACCTAATTCAAATTGTAAACACACTGCCACCACCCTTAGTAAGTCAGTATTGCTAACATCAGCTGTCCAAATTAATGAGGAAATACTGTTCAAAACTCCTGCAAATGTTGTGGTTCTATTTTTATTAAACGCAGGTTCTTTATTACCTATTGTTTAGTTTCCACTTAATATCTTTCATTCCATTATTCTATTATGCAATTGATAAAATGCCAGCTGCCTTTACTGGCAACTTCTAAAGTCTCAAATCCAACAGAAAGTACAGGGTTATATACCAACATCCTGACTAGCAAAAAGCAGAAGACTGAGATACAACTACTTAAAGCCCATACTTTTTTTTGTCCTCTTTAGTTTTCTCATAAGTAAGAGGTAAATGATGAACTTTATGCTAATAAGTCAGTCATGTCACTACCTTCCCTACAATACTGTCATGGTCAACTTTCTGTTTAAAAGAAAACAAATCACAGAAAGCAGACTCCAAGTAAAGCCATCATCATTACACTTGACATGGTATCTTAAATCTTGCTACCAATGAAAAAAACCATTATGAAACAATAAAAAGTGATTAAAAACATCTGAAAACAGGAAAAAAATGGAAGATTTTCAGCAATATTCTACAGGGATCTTTTAGTACCAACAAAAATCTATGGTCAAAGAAAAAGCAATTAATTTAATTGCTAGTAAATTCTGTGAATGGTACAAAAATTGGTGCAACAGCAATTCAAAGAAGCACAATTCCACCTGACAAACTGCACTTAAACATCACCATTAACTTTAATATCAGAAAGTTAAAGATCATAAATATGAGAATCAATATGGTATTTGATACAAAGAAAATTATTTGTGAAATGTGGAAGACAAGCAACTGAACTTGTTCTCAGTGCAGTGTGATGGCAAACATATGCAACATACTTGTTCTTTGTGTGAGATGAGGAAATATCATACAAACGTTGAACTGTGATTTTAGCAAAAGGCAGTGCTCTAACAGAATTACTACTGTAAAGCTGTGTTCAATTTGTTTCCAAAGTCTGCTGGCAGATTATAAGTGGTTTTGAAGAGAGTTAGACATTACTCGGAATCTAGAAGCATGTTCTGGTGTAGAAACAAAATCTTGATCCATTTTAGCTTATCAAGAACTGGTTGGGAGGTGATTTAATTGTGGTGCAGTAATTGTTTTTGTGATGATATGAATACTCACTACTACTGGAAGTCTTTTCCTGAAGTTATCTAGTCTTGATTAACAGGACAAACTGAGGTTAGAAATAAAGTTCTGTGATCTGAGTAATGTCAAAATGATTCATCATCAGCATGGCTTTTTCCAGTTCTAAAAATCTACTGGCACCTTAAAATCTCATGGGAATATTGCAGAGCATACTATACTCAATGATGTCACATCTATCCTGGAACCCTGTGAAAGCACCAACACTAAGAATCTGGTTTGCATTGACAAAGAATTTAGGCATACAATTGTCTACTTTTAAAATGTTTGACTCAAAGAAAAGCACAACTTAACAAATCAATATAACTATTATTTTCTTTGTGAATCTGTACCACTAAAACTGACAGTGTGTGCCATCCTAGCTGCTGAGACCTTAAGCATTAAAAGCTAGCTATGGTAGAGTCATCACATGCTATAGCAGTTGGATTCAAATGCTCGTGTTTTCTGTAATATTTTGGTTGTCCTTAATATTTGGAGTATATATCACATTAAGTTCAGGTGTTTTATTCAGAAGCAAAGTTAATTTCGAAGAAGAAAGAACCACTATACTTCTCCTACAAGTTACCAGAGAGTATTACTACCACATTTAAAAAGGTGTAGATTTTACTTTTCAATCTTTTAAATTTTCTAGAAGCATGGATATTTAACAGTTTAACATTTTAATCAAAAAGGAGTTTGTCATACAGCAGCATTTCGGCTTTGAAGCAAGGGCTTTGTATTCCGTAATAGCAGCCTGTGATCTGGGTCCATAGTATAGGTGTTTTTCACCTTCCGATCTTTTTCTTTCTGTTCTTCATCAGATTCATAGAAATTATTTTCACTATATTCTTCCACTGCCTCATCATCCTACCAAAAGACAAAATAACAAAAAACATACATAGAATATTTGAATCAGTTCTATTTATTACAGAAGTAACATACAACACTATTTCATGCAAGATTTATATGCTTTTATAAAAAACAGCTATTGGCTCCAGTTTGCTCAAACCAGTGAATGTACTGACATGAAAAATAGTTTAACGATATATGTAAAATTTCCTCAGAAATAAGATGAACTGCTAAATGAAATATATTCATTAATATTCTGTAAACTAGATGAAGTATGATTATTGGTCTTTTTTGGACTTAAAGCCTATGATCCCAAATTGACATTTCTGAGAACAGTCAGTTGTTTAAAATTCCCTCTTTTTTGAAAACTTAATGCCAATCACATGCATTTTTCCCTCTCCAGCAGTATATAAGTTATCTGTGAAAACAGCAAATCTCAAAAGAAGGGACAGGGGTTTTTTTAAGAAATTAGATAGGAAAAGGTTATGTAGCCAGAATCTGGCCTTTTCTGATGAAGTATAAATCCTTGGGCTGTTTAAATAAAGTTATGAATTAACAGCATAATGTCACTTAAAGAAACAACACAACACACTGAAGGAATTCATAAAAGAAATATTAGTAAATTATATATTAGTAAGTGAGGTCTTTCTTTACTCCAGAAGGCTAAATAAAATAATGTAAAGGAATATACCTGATTACATAAACATGATAAATTATAACAAAGTTTAAGATTACCTGACGTGGATCAAAAAATGGATGAAGGATAGAGTTTAAGCGTTTCATTATGCTTATATTTAATTAGCATTAAAAAGCCCACAAACTTAAAGAAAAATAAGATGGAAACCATCACGATTAGATCAAAACAGAATGTCAGATCTCAGAAATTGTGGTCTGGATTATCAATACTTAAAGTATTCAACATTACAAAAGTTTTTTTAAAAAATAAGCCACTGACTTCTGCAACTTGTTATATCCAAGTGTGTGTCCTTCCTCTCCTAAAGTCTTCCATCTCACTTTGTCACCAGAACACCCAAATAAGACAAAGAGCATTACTGTGGCTAGCTGGAGCTATTCACACTACAATGAGCTGGCTGGTACCAAACACCAACTGTACCTGTCTTTCTTGCAAGTGTCTGTCCAACTATTTTTAGGAACATCTAACTCTACATAGCGGTTTTAAGAGGATTATTTTAAGTCGTATACCCAATTGCTGATTTTTTTAAAAGACAATTGCTTTTGAGACAAATGTATTTTTTGAATTCTAGCTGGCAGTAGCAAAGGGATGAAAAGTGAATGGAAGAATAGCTAGAAAGGAAAATAAAAATTTATTTTATAGGTCTTCAAAAAACCAGGCAAAGTTAACTTCAAACCTTTGTTGCATGCCTTGGTCAAAACTCATGTGCAGTGAAAGAGCCCATAAAGGTGTCTTCAGCAGACGTGGCGGGGCGGGGGCAGGGAGGGAAGAAGTGACAATAAATCACAGAATCACAGAATGTTAGGGATTGGAAGGGACCTCAAAGGATCACCTAGTCCAATCCCCCTGCCAGCGCAGGACCACCTAGATCAGATCACACAAGAACGTGTCCAGGCGGGTTTTGAACATCTCCAGAGAAGGAGACTCCACAACCTCTCTGGGCAGCCTGTTCCAGTGTTCTGTTAACCTTACTGGGAAGAAGTTCTTCCTCATGTTTAAGTGGAACCTCCCATGTTCCAGCTTATATCCATTTCCCCTTGTCCTATCATTGGATGCCACCGAGAAAAGCCTGGCTCCATCCTCATGACAGTCACCCTTTACATATTTATAAACAATAATGAGGTCCCCCCTCAGTCTCCTCTTCTCCAAGCTAAAGAGACCCAGCTCCCTCAGCCTTTCCTCATAAGGGAGATGCTCCACTCCCTTAATCATAAATCAAAGTTGTCATTTTATTCTGGTTTTTATTATAATTTGAAAAGACACTAAAAATAAAACTTCCCTTCACACTTCTCATTTTTATTACTTGACGCAAACAGTACTCTCAGTGTTTTACAGAATCCTTAGCAAGCTATTAGATTTCTTATACAAGAGCAACCAAAGTGATTTAGTTTAATTCTCTGTCTACACTTCTAAACTAAAAACTCAGGATGCTAAATCAAGAGCATTGGTAACCAAATTCCTCCCCTTGTCTACAGGACAGGCTACTTGAAAGTAAAATTCCTGATTCCAGTGCATCTCAATCCTGCATTGAAGAAGCTTCCTCTAACAGATGGAGGATAATTCAGTCTTCATTGATTCAGTCTTCAGTATCCATGCCTTGACTGCTAACAGGCACACACATCAGTACTATTGAACTCAACAGGAATATAGAGTTGGAAATTGTATTCAGCTCAATCACTATCGTGAAGAAACAGCTTGAGCTCTCACACTTCTGACTTCTTTTTTAAAGAACTGTTGGTTAGAAACATACTTGGAGCAGAGTTCCAAATAATTATAATGCAACTTCTGCCTCTTATGAAAACATTTTTAATTTAAACCCCATTAGAGTCTTTACATTGAATCACTTTCTTCATACTCCCACAGCAGAAGTATTCATATGGTCTTTTCTCATAGTCATGTATTTTATTACAATCTTAAAAATAATTCTCTTCTCTCAAATCTGTTGAGATCTGGTATGAACTAATTATGTTCCAGACAAAGGAGGATGATGACACACAGGAAAATCAGTTTAATGAACTGAAATTCATTAAAATCAAGTTGATGAAGTCCAAATTAGACAGAATTTGTAGTCACAAGGACCTTAGTAAGACAAAGAGAATATGTAATACTGCAATATTTGCACATTACCACGGAAAGGAAAGTAAAGTATTATGTAAAAGAGCCAGGAGACTGAAAGATAAAAACCTGCAGGCTTTTTGGTGTGCAAGAATTGTTGTTTCAAATTCTGTTAATCATCCCAGATACGGAAAGCAGTTACCAGGAAACCTGAAAACATTCAATCACTCACAGCCTCTTAATCCTCAACGTGAACTGCTGAATATACTCACTACCAAAAAGAGGTAACTATACATTTGGAATCATAGAATCGCTGAGGTTGGAAAAGATCTTTAAGATCATCAAGTCCACCTGTTTACCTAACACTACCAAGTCCACCACTAAACCATGTCTCTAAGCGCCACGTCTAGAACTCCTTTAAATACCTCCAGGGATAGTGACGCAACCACATCCCTGGGCAGCCTGTTCCAATGCTTGACAACCCTTTCAGTGAAGAAATTTTTCCTAATATCCAATTTACACCTCCCCTGGTGCAACTTCAGAACGTTCCCTCTCGTCCTATCACTTGACTCCCATGTCATTACCACCTCCTTTCAGGTAGCTGCAGAGAACAATAAGGTCTCCCCTCAGCCTCCTTTTCTCCAGGTTAAACAACCGCAGTTCCCTCAGCCACTCCTCATAAGACTTGTGCTCCAGACCCTTCACCAGCTTTGTTGCCCTTCTTTGGACACGCTCCAGCACCTCCATGTATTTTTTGTAGTGAGGTGCCCAAAACTGAACAACATATTCAAGGTGCAGCCTCACCAGATCATTTCTCTAGTCCTGCTGGCCACACTATTTCTGATACAAGGCAGGATGCTCTGAGCCTTCTGGGCCACCTGGGCACACTGCTGGCTCATAATCAGCCAGGTGTCGACTAACACTCCAGGTCCTTTGCTGCCAGACAGCTCCTCCATAGAAGGAGATCATGCTAGTCAAGCAGGACCTGCCTTTCATAAACCCATGCTGACCGGGCCTGATCACCTGGTTGTCCCGTACATGCTGCACAACAGCACTCAAGATGATCTGCTCTACAACCTTCTGCCACGCCGCGGTCAGCTGACAGGCCTGTAGTTCCCTGCATCCTCCTTCTGGCCCTTCTTGGATAGGCGTCACATTCACTGATCTCCAGCCAACTGCGACCTGCTCAGTTAGCCAGGACTGCTGATAAATGACTGAAAGTGGCTTGGTGAGTACTTCTGCCAGCTCCTTCAGTGCCCTTGGGTAGATCTCATCCAGCCTTACAGACTCGTGTGTGACTAAGTGGTGTAGCAGGTCACTAACCATTTCCGTTTGCATTATGGGGGCTTCATTCTGTCACCTGTTTCTGTCCTCCAGCTCAAAGGGCTGGGTACTCCAAGAACAACTGGTCTTACCCCTAAAGACTGAGGCAAAGAAGGCACTAAGTATCTCACCCTTTTCCCCATCCTTCATCACTATGTTTCACCCCACACCCAATAAAGGATGGAGATTCTCCTTAGCCCTCCTTTTGTTGTTAATATATTTATAGAAATATTTTTATTGTCTTTTATGGCAGTAGCCATATTAAGTTCTAGTTGGACTTTGGACCTTTTAATTTTCTCCCTGCATACCCTCATGACATATTTGTAGTTCTCCTGAGTTGTCTGCCCCTTCTTCCAAAGGTCCTAAACTCTCTTTTTTTCCCCTGAGTTCAGTTCTCTGTTCTGCCAGGCTGGTTTTCTTCCTCGCCAGCTCATCTTTTGGCACACACTGATGGCCTGCTCCTGCACCTTGAAGATTTCCATCTTGAAGAATGTCCAGCCTTCCTGGACTCCTTTGCCCTTCAGGATTGCATCCCAAGGGACTCTGTCAGCCAAGCTCCTAAATGGGCCAAAGTCTGCCCCAAGGTAGCAATTCTGCTAACTACCCTCCTTACTTCTCCAAGAATCAAAAACTCAATCACATCAAGCTTGCTGTGCCCAAGATGGCCTCCAACCATCACATCATCTACAACATCTTCTCTGTTCATAAACAACAGGTCCAGCAGGCACCTTCCCTAGTTGGCTCCATTATCAACTGTGTCAGGAAGTTATCTTCCACACACTCCAGGAACATCCTAGACTGTCTGCTCTCTGCTGTATTGTATGTCCAGCAGACATCTGGTAAGTTGAAGCCCTCCATGAGAACAAGGGCTTGTGATCGTGAGACTCCTCCCAGCTTCTTATGGATT